CGGTGAAAGTCCAGCGTTACTCTTCGACAAAGACATGGACTCTTGCTTCGATGAAAAATGTTTTCTTGTAACATTGTGCCGTGGACGGTAACCGGGTAAGTTCTGGAATGTGTACATGTGCGCACCTCCCCCGTTCCATGCTGGCTCACATTAGTTTCGTTGGTTCGGCGTTGTTACCATGGTTACCTGGATCTTCAAAAAGTAAGTAACTGTTACTAGGTACAGTCGTCCCTCTCTAATCCAGCACCCTCGATAAACCAGCACCCTCGATAAACCAGCACCCTCGATAAACCAGCACCCTCGATAAACCGGCACAATATTCAGTAGCCAAAATGTCCTCTTCATGCACATTGCAGCAGTAAATCAGATTTGTTAAAGGGGAAGTGCATCGATTTTTCGAGTATGGTCCAGAAGAAAGACAATTTGATATCGGTTCGAATGGCATATCTCTCGCTTCCATACGATAAGCCAAACTTGCCAAATCGCCAATTGTATGCTCACGTTGCCATAGCGACCAGCGCAGTGATGACGTATGAAAGGCTTAGCTCCTCCACAGAGAAGGTCGATCACTGCAGAAATTGGTCATTTTCAATTTTCTTATTGTATTCACGATGTGAAAGAAGTGCTGTGTTCAATGCTGTTAGTGCCGTGAACTATTTATCGCCCTTCTCATGCATTTCCCTAGGCTGACTGTGCCTAGGAAATGGTTTCCTCCAGGACAAGATGCTTGGAATTCGCCATCTCTCCTGAGACAATTTTCATCAACCTTTCAAACCTTCGACATTATTTCATTCGTCAATCTCCGCCACCCGTCGTCTCACCTGGCTTCAGAAGATGTTACGAGAGATAGGAGAGTCGCCAGGAAGCATCACATTCATCTTCAGGAAGTGGAAAGAGCAAACTGCATGGTCCTTGGTTGGGGGAAATGCTGAACGTCTGATTTGTCCCAACCAAGATTTCAGCATTTTGTTCGTCACTATTTTCGCTTGTCTGCTGGTGTCTCCGCACTCCAGCTTTCTCCTGTCGGTGTCACGTCCCAGTACACAACCGAGAGGACTACTAACAAACAGTTCACTGCACTAACAGCATTGAACACAGCCCTTCTTTCACTTCGTGAATACAATAAACCAATTGAAAATGACCAAATTCTGCAGTGATCGACCTTCTCTGTGGTGGAGCTAAGCCTTTCGCACGTCATCACTGCGCTGGTTGCTATGGCAACGTGAGTATACAATTGGCGATTTGGCAAGTTTGGCTTATCGTATGGAAGCGAGAGATATTCCATTCGAACCGATATCAAATTGTCTTTCTTCTGGACCATACTCGAAAAATCGATGCACTTCCCCTTTAATCCAGCACCCTCCCTAATCCAGCAGGTTTCCGTGGCACAAATGGTGCCGGATTATAGTAGTAGTAGTAGTAGATTTTATTATTTTACTAGGGGAGTCCCAACAGGCGTTGCCTTTTTACTGGGAACCCTAGGTGAATTTTTACCATGTTTACATACAGAGTAAGAGACGGGGCCTGACGGCAGTCAGTGGGAAGAGCATTCCATCTGTCTGCCGCCAGGAAAGAAATAGAACGCATGCCATATTGCGTAGAAACAGGCGGAAGAACTAATGCGCGCTGTGCCTGGCCGCGCGTGCGAGCCTGGTGTCCAGGCACAGCAGCCCTAAGCTGGAACAAGGATTGGAGAAGGGGACTAGCAAGATGTGGGGTCAAGCAGCGGTACACGAAAACATAGAGTTTAAGATTTGTGCGCTGTTCAAAAGAATAGAGATGATATTTGCGGAGAACAATTTCAGTAGACATCATACGGTCAAACCCAAAAACTTTCTTCATTGCTATGTGACTGACCGTCACGATTTTATTGAACAGGGTGGCGCTGAGACAGTGCAGATAAGCGTTACTGGCATAGTCGAGAGTCGATTGCACAATGGATAAATTATAGAGGGACCACTGTACTAGTAGTAGTGTTGTTAGTTGCTGGCTGTCGACATGTCGTGGCAGAACATAGACTTCCGGGACCGGAAGTTTCTGCCAGAGTTTCCACACTGTGCTGGACCACAGCTAGCTAGCTAGCACTGGGCCTGGCACTACGTGCCACGATCTGTTTGGTACCATGTATGATGTGTACGGTGGTCTATCGCTTGTACTTGTAGCAATACATCGCGTATTGTAATGTTGTCAATCAAAGACCAACGCTATAGCCGATACGAATCTGTACATGACGAATTTACGATGTGTGTAGATCTACTATGCAGTTATGAAGAACGTCGTATAATGCTATTTTTGGCTTCGTAATGCTTTATAATGCTCGTAATGCTTCGGGTGGTGTATAATGCTCGATATAATGACGGCATTATCCGCCAACACCTACCCCCCCCCCCCCCCCAAAGCCAAGGCTAAGGCCCATCGAGCACTCGGAAACTGTGATTGCATGCATGAGGAAACAGATTTTAGCACTTTTTCAGCTAAAAAAGCTCAAAAAGGGCGATATTCAGTAAAAACGCAAGAAAGGGCGAAAGAAACGGGCTTTTCCAAAAAAGGGCCAAAAAGGGCGAAAAAAGGGCGAGCACCTTTGGGAAAGGGCTACCTCTGAGGCTCTGTCTCCAGATTGCAGCGCTAGTGGTGAATCACACCAGTGGCGATCACACCAGTGATCCATAATGGATCAAGCAGGTGCTGCATGATTGTGGTGATGTCACGTGATGACAGACTGCATGACTAATGTAGACATTCTACGTGTGCAGTGGAGGAGCTAGACACAATACAAATGTAGCAGGGCTAGATAGGGGAAGTCCCTAGCCCTGGGACGCTATGCCTGTGAGGCTGTGAGCTGACATGGACTAGAACTGTAAGAGTTAGTACAGAATTCACATGTACATGAGTCTACAGTACTACTTGCAGGTAAGTAAGTTAATGGTCTTGGTCCGAGGAAGCTGAGACGCTCCCTTCCTACTTGAATCCCAATCGAACTCGCGCACTTCCACCGAAACTGGGTGACTGCGCCCTACTAGATGGGGATTTGTATGCAAAATGTCACTAAAAGCGCCATTTCGTTCTTATAAAAGCACGGATGACCGCGATTGGCCCATATGTTGTAGTCTTTTGGACGCTGAGTCGACTGGTTTTGGGCCGAAAAGGCTGCGATGCAGCGTTCCTCCTTTATTCCCAATCGAACATGGTTGAAGAAGCGGTCACGTGGTCCTGGGTGCCCAAATCACCTGGTCACCACGCCAGCAGGTGACAACTTTCACACCAAGGTTCAACTCGAGTTCAACTCGAGGGACAGGACTGCACCCAAAAAAGGTCAAACAGGCTAGTAAGTTGTACCCTGCAGGCACGGTGACCAGGTGACTGGTGTACGCAGGAGCACGTGACCGCTTGTTCAACCATGTTCGATTGGGAATAAAGGAGGAACGCCGCATCGCAGCCTTTTCGGACCAAAACCAGTCGACTCAGCGTCCAAAAGACTACAACATACATGTATGGGCCAATCGCGGTCATCCGTGCTTTTATAAGAACGAAATGGCGCTTTTAGTGACATTTTGCATACAAATCCCCATCTAGTAGGGCGCAGTCACCCAGTTTCGGTGGAAGTGCGCGAGTTCGATTGGGATTCAAGTAGGAAGGGAGCGTCTCAGCTTCCTCGGACCAAGACCATTCGACTCAGCACCCCGAAGACTACAACTGGTGAAATTTTAATTTTTGCCTTAACTTCCCCTTTAAAGGGGAAGTGCATCGATTTTTCGAGTATGGTCCAGAAGAAAGACAATTTGATATCGGTTCGAATGGCATATCTCTCGCTTCCATACGATAAGCCAAACTTGCCAAATCGCCAATTGTATGCTCACGTTGCCATAGCGACCAGCGCAGTGATGACGTATGAAAGGCTTAGCTCCACCACAGAGAAGGTCGATCACTGCAGAATTTGGTCATTTTCAATTGGTTTATTGTATTCACGAAGTGAAAGAAGGGCTGTGTTCAATGCTCTTAGTGCAGTGAACTGTTTGTTAGTAGTCCTCTCGGTTGTGTACTGGAACGTGACACCGACAGGAGAAAGCTGGAGTGCGGAGACACCAGCAGACAAGCGAAAATAGTGACGAACAAAATGCTGAAATCTTGGTTGGGACAAATCAGACGTTCAGCATTTCCCCCAACCAAGGACCATGCCGTTTGCTCTTTTCACTTCCTGAAGATGAATGTGATGCTTCCTGGCGACTCTCCTATCTCTCGTAACATCTTCTGAAGCCAGGTGAGACGACGGGTGGCGGAGATTGACGAATGAAATAATGTCGAAGGTTTGAAAGTTTGATGAAAATTGTCTCAGGAGAGATGGCGAATTCCAAGCATCTTGTCCTGGAGGAAACCATTTCCTAGGCACAGTCAGCCTAGGGAAATGCATGAGAAGGGCGATAAATAGTTCACGGTACTAACAGCATTGAACACAGCACTTCTTTCACATCGTGAATACAATAAGACAATTGAAAATGACCAATTTCTGCAGTGATCGACCTTCTCTGTGGAGAAGCTAAGCCTTTCATACGTCATCACTGCTCTGGTCGCTATGGCAACGTGAGCATACAATTGGCGATTTGGCAAGTTTGGCTTATCGTATGGAAGCGAGAGATATGCCATTCGAACCGATATCAACTTCTGGACCCTACTCGAAAAATCGATGCACTTCCCCTTTAACCCTCATGCCACACAACAGAGACGAGCCTGTGGGGTGTAGACTGTGAGCCAAGTGCATGAATTCATGATTTTCGTTCCCACTTTGGGTGTACCGCGATTTTGTTCTTTTAGCATGTGGAGAGACCTAATAGAAGATCATTTTTGATTGTTGTCAGTTTGGGAAGCTTGCAGGGAAGTCAAAATAAGCAATTATCTTAACATACCCCGTTTCCATAGCAACTACATAGCAACTGACATAGCAACATGCTATTTTGAAGGTGTTTCTTACTTTTTTCAGCAGGCAACGGCACTGGACGAAGAAATGTATATCAAGCGTCATTGCAGCTGGGTTAAAATAACTATACGTGGCCAAAAATTATAGAATTACGCATAAGTGCATTGTATAAAGTACGTGCACATTTTAAATATTACTCGAAGTGACGATGCACTGGTAGGTAAGTGCACATGAAATGGTGCCGACAACCACGAAATGCATTTCAGGAATGATAATGTACAGAACAAACAGGTGGCATTCAATATACAAAGCCCAGCAGCAGCGAATTCTCCAGACAACGGTTGGAAAAGACCATCAACAACAGCCAGGAGAATCTGGTTTAATCCGGTGCAATGCTCATTTCACCCTCTACATCTCTATAATATATACATGTACAGTATGGCAGAATAATGTTAAAGAAGTTGCTGGATACAGGATTTGTATATTTGCACTCATATAACTGATCAATGTAACGTTACTTCGTAAGTACTGCTGTATTGCTTCCTAACTTATAAGTGCAAAGGGTAGAGCAATGACCGTAACCAGTAACGTTAGAGGACCGCAGGGGTATACCGGTAGATACAGATCTGTAGTTTATTTGAACTATAATAATAATAATTATTTTGAAGCATTAGTTCCATTACCCATTGTATGTACAGAACACAAGCGGAAAGATACAATTAATCATAGTCTGAAGCACTTCAGTATAAAAGATCGAAACAGTTATTAGCTCTCCGGAGATAAGGTACATTGTACGTTCTACATGTATTTCTGCTCCAACAGATTACAAAAACCTTTAGTTTAGCTTGACTGATCAGCAGCAAGCATGCTAGCACACTGATATGATTGACATGATGATGTTCGTACTGCCACTGCGCTGCACTAGCACTGCACACAATACTATAGAAACCACGAAAAAACATCGTCATGATGCGGCTGGGTTTGCACCACCGTACATTTTTGCGAGGTCAGTGGTGCAACAGAAGTCCGCTCCAGCTCTTGTGACCTTGGTTCTTGTCGATGGCGGCTATTGATTTGGCCAAAGTAGTTTCTCCCTTCTATTTGGGCATGTTCGTGCCTGATTTGGAAGTGACAACAAGCTGAATTCGTATCTAGTCGAGTAGATGAAACGAACTGGGGAAAAAAATTGCGGTACGCTCAAGGTCGGAACGAAAAAAAATTCTAACAGGATTTTTGGTGCCTGGCTCACAGTCTAGTGTCGCAAGCGTGTATTCCAGCGTGAGTAATCATGAGGCTCTGATCGGTAATCAAGTATGACGTACATGTACTCAGTATGAGGTTATGATTATAAATGATGTACACATATCACACATCAGAGAGGCAAGGACAGCAGAAGAGACACGCGGGGTCCTGCGCCGTCAGAACGGCTATGTGTACTACTAGGTTGCTATGGCAGCGGAACACTAAATCTTAGAAAAAATGAATAGTTCAATGGTGCCGATGTGCGTGCACTATGCAGCGCCCATCGGCAGCACCCGTGCCTCCAATAAAGGTACCGAATGGCTTGCGACACGCAGGCTCTAGTAGTGCTGTGGAATGCCTGCGGGCCTGAGAATGTACGTGCGATATGCCCTGCTGGACCAGCGGCCTGCAGCCATCAGGGCATACTCTGGTGCGCCTCAATCCGCCATGTGTGTGGCTCCCCCGACGCGTAAGGAATGGCTGCTGATGCTTGGACCTAGCACTTTGTGTAGGACAGCATTGATGTCGTTCGGCTTGAGATGGCGACCATCCTGAAACTTGAATAGGGGTTGCTTGTCATTGCTCCATTTGCTGGACCGAACGTAAGCCTGCAGGGCTCGGACGGGACATAGTGCGGGGTCAGCGTAGCGATTCAGCGCTACCTCCCCGCCTGTTGCTAATTGAGACGTCTTCGTCCTCTGCAGCTGCAGAGAGGCCTCCTGCTGGGCTAGCCGGAGGTGTTCGTGCCTCAGCGTCTTGAGGCCGCCGGGACCGTGTGGTGAGAGCGACGTGTACTCACTCACACACAGCAGCAGGCCGTGGAAGGCTGTCGTAAGAGCAGCCCATAGCATTAGTCTGTCTGCAGGGGAGTACAAGGACCGATTCAAGAACTGGCGGAGAGCCTTCAGCTGGTGGACGGTGATCGCTTGGCGCTGAGGGCGTGCTGACGGATGTCTGGGAAGCGACGCTCTCTCCCTCTCTAAGCCCATGAGCAGGGCTGTGATGCGGCTTGAGGATGTAACCCCGACCGGGCCTCCCATGCGGAGGAGGTGGTATTTGATCGCGGCCAGGTAGACTCTCAGAGTGCTGGCGCGGACTGAGTGAGACATTGCGGCAGCGAACAGCAGGACGTCGTTCTGATCTGGGTGATGTGTGTCGCGGCGCATGCGACCCCTGAACTCCAGGAATGAACGCCAGCCTGGGGCGTACGTGCGCTGTGTGCCAGTGGCTACCGAGTTGGCAATCAGGTGCTCTGCTCGCGCTGAGAGAGCGGCGGCTAGCAAGCCTAGGAGGACACAGGCACAAGCGCATGCAACACAAACGCACACACGCATACGCCCGCACACGCGCATGTTTTCTAAACAGGCAGGATGGTACGGCGGCCACGCCGAGCTGCCGTGTATGCGTGCTGCGCCGGGTCGCTGAACAGCGGCCCGCTTACCGGAACACACTGGCCCGGCAGCGTGGCTGTGGATTGTAAGCAGGGGACCCGTGGGCTATGCTAGTGGGAGATCTCCCCCTTGACCTCGGCGGGGCGTTCCTGTACTGGTTTGGCCGAGGTTCGCCCTCATCCTGTGGGGCTAATGCAAATACGACCCGAGAGCCCCCCTCCCCCAGCCCCGCGGGGTGGGAGCCTCTGCTATTGGCCTAATCCATAGGTACTTAGCCTTGCGGGTGGGCGCATGGGGGTGGCACGTAAGCGTTGGCTTGCGTAGCTGTGGCTTGCGGCGGTAAGCGATCCTCCGGCGGGAGGTGGACATCCGGCGGGATGTTATGCAAGCGGGGCTGGCGACCCTGGACAGACACACAGAACAAAAGACAGCAGGCAGCGAAGCCTTGGTTCGGTGGAGCCGTAGCTTGCAGCGGCAGTTTCTGTAAGCGATTCTCCGGCGGGAGTTATATGTTCGGCGGGATGTAATGCGAGCGGGCTAGCGACCCTGGATAGACACACAGAACAATAGACAGCGGGCGGCGAAGCGTTGGCTCGTGAAGCCATTGCTTGCGGCGGTGGTGTCTGTAGGCGATCCTCCGGCGGGAGTTATATGTTCGGCGGGATGTAATGCGAGCGGGCTAGCGACCCTGGATAGACACACAAAACAATAGACAGCGGGTGGCGAAGCGTTGGCTCGCGGAGCCATTGCTTGCGGCGGCGGTGTCTGTAGGCGATCCTCCGGCGGGAGGTGGACATCCGGCGGGATGTTATGCGCGTGGTTTGCAAGCCTGGATATACACGCAGAGCACAAGACAGCGAGCAGCTCCCCTGCCGCTGAATCAATGTCGATGCCAAGCACTGTGAGGCAGGTGGCGGGGCCAACAACTTTGTCCGGGCCGTCTGCTGTTGGCACGCCCAGTTTTGCAAAGACCTGCAGAATAGTGGCTTTGTGGGTCGTGGCCGCCGAGGACGTGACAGACTCGGCTGCTGGACACACTGAGACGAAGTCATCCAAATAGCGCTCCAGTGCAGGGATACTATAGTTCTTACGGAGGATCCATTCTAGGGTGGTAGCCAGGCAGTTAAACAGACTGGGAGCGGAGCGTAGGCCAAATGGCAGGACAGTGTCGATATAGTAGTTGCCATTCCACAACATACCGAGGAGCGGCCAGTCGTCGGGGTGCACGGGGCAGAGTCGGAAAGCGTGCTTCAGGTCCACCTTTGACAGGAAGGCTCCGGGGCCCGTCCTGCGCACGTGTTCTGCTATCGTGTCAATCGTAATTAGAGAGAAACGGTAGGCCTGCTTGTCAATGAACGAATTGACGCTGTTCCCATCGGGGGTGGACAGGTGCATGATGAGGCGGCGGCCGCCCGACTTCTTGGGGCCCACACCTTCGCCTGGGGTGCGCAGACGGACGAATGGCGGCGCTTTGAAGGGGCCAGCGGTGTGGCCGTGACTGCCTTCCGTGGCCAGGTACTGGTCGACGACCTCGGGGTGTGCTGCCGCTGAAGACAAGTTCGGGCTGTGTACGGACACATACCGGGGTTCGGCGAACCCGATACGACAGCCGGCATGTAAATTGCTAATTAGAGAATGAACAAATGCAGGATTAGGGTGCGCCAGCAATTCAGTGTGTAATGCATCAATATTGATAGGGATTTTGGGGTGTAATGCAATGTTCATAGGGGTGTTAGGGGGTGGGTGAATGCAAGAAAGTGGTGCCGGGGCTGATTGCTGTTCGCTCTTATTTCTTGGCTGGACAGGCTGACACGGCGTGCGAGCCTGAGCAGAAGAGGCAGGCGTGTCGAAAGCGACATGGGCCGCTGCAGGCGCCGTGATTGTAGCGGCGGCAGATTTTGGTTGATTTAGTGCTTGCACTATCTTTCGCCTGCTTGTCGCGAAAGGCCGAGATGTGTGCTCCGGCCAAGTGCCCCACCTTCTTGCAAATGCTGCAATTGGGGAGGGCCTGTCCCGTGAAACAGGTCGCGAAAAGCTCCGTGTCGAGCTCCGCCAGGGATCAGCTTGGGTCCTTTGACTGGGCCTGGCGTGCCCGCGTGTCATAGTCCACGACTGCCGAGAAGCGGTACTTCCCGGCTGCCTGTACCATGCGTATTTGATGCTGCATCAGTGCAGCGGCGCAGCGAGGTTGATTGCGGATGGCGATCAGACTAAAGATAGACCATGTCTCGGTCCACGTGGCAAGGTTCTCAATTTTTCCTTTTGGTGCGCTTGTCACCGAAATTGCCCCTTCCTCGTCTATGCAGAACCTCTTAGGGGCTGGCTCCCCGGTAGAAATAGATTTGGGCGGGAGCAGTATTGCCAGATCTATATACTCGATTCGTCTGATCCGATCGACTGTCTCCAACGAGACATGCGAAATGCAGGAGGGGTAACCCATGTTCGTATGGTGCATGAATTCATCAGCACACATACCGTCTTCTTGGTGCTCCGTGACGTTCTCCGGTGCGTTGCCGCTGAGGGCTGCTGCCACGCTGGCTGCCACGATCTGCTGGATAGACTCCCTTTGTGCCTGCGAGAAAGCCATGGTGGGTGTAAGACTATCGCTGAGAGCGGAGAAGAGACAATTTCAAACAATTTCTGCGGCGGGCAGGCACAGCAAACAACTGGTGAATGTCTTTACTTGTTCCTGCCTTGCGAGGGTGGCCTTGGGTGAGCTCGCACCCAAGGCTGATAGGTGGCTTATACGACATGCCGTACGTGCATCGCGGTTGCGAATGCTTGCGTGGGGCCCCGCGCGGGAGCCCGGCAGTGCGTACGATTTCCAAATATTTCTGCTCAGCAACCCCTCCGTCACGAGTACACTGTATCTCAGATGACTGACCGTAGCACACTAAAAATACCTTCCAACACCCCTGAATTAACAAACTGCTTCACGGCAAACAATGTTAGAAAGCAGGCTGCACAATGCCCTTATAAGGCAGAGCTTGACACACGGTAGGGAGCACAGAAACTGTATTGTGACAGGCTGTCTCACTGTTGTAGCTCGAGTTTGCTTTTGCAGCGCGAGTTTGCTTTTGCCGCTTTTCCATCTACGCAACCTACCGCACGCCTTAACCATCGTTGACAGTTTATTTGTATTCCGCTTGTTCTTTCAAGTAGTAATCGCCATAACAATTTGTTTTCGGTGAAGCACGAATGTTTGCTAAACTCGGTTTTTCCAACAGTTGGCCGAACCCCTCCCTTCCCCCCTCCCCCCTCCATTTCCGCCGATAGCCTTGACAAATTGGTACCGTTTTTTACTTGTTGTGTATTGCACGGTGTACTAAATCCAACCCATCATTACGACGGCCTGCCTACATGAGAGAGCGAGGCGCAGACAAGCAATGTCATGTGCGAGCATGTATTAGTAGCGGCAAGAGTACATAACCAAGAGTGTGCAACTGCCTGCACAACCTCTATGCTGTGCTGCGACGGCAGAACTTCACATCACGTGACATGGTTCAAAAGGTTATGCTGGCAAACAGTGCAAAGTGACCACAAGAGAGTTGTACCCAAAGCTGGGCTGCGTACAACCCAGTATCTATCATGCACTAGAGTGCACGGGTTCATCACGTGATGTGAAGTTCTGCCGTCGCAGACCCCATAGCTGGAGTTGCACACTCTTGGGTTATGTACTCTTGGTAGCGGGCATGCAGCCGGGTGGTCGATACGTACGTGATTTAGCGTTACAGTGTCCAGTGTCTTCTCCCTATATTATTATTAAGCAACGACCTCGGGTGTACTCGTATGCTACATACATGTACAGTTGTGCTAAATTGAAATCCGACCAAAAATGCCAAGCTGGCGCCCTCAACCTGCACCGGCTTTGGTTGCCTGGAAGTGGCACGAATGTGGCTGGACGTACACCTGCACCGGCCTTGGTTGCCTGGAAGTGGCACGAATGTGGCTGGACGTACACCTGCACCGGCCTTGGTTGCCTGGAAGTGGCACGAATGTGGCTGGAGGTACACCTGCACCGGCCTTGGTTGCCTGGAAGTGGCACGAATGTGGCTGGACGTACACCTGCACCGGCCTTGGTTGCCTGGAAGTGGCACGAATGTGGCGGGACGTACACATGTAAAGATACAGTACATGTGCAGATGCAATGATGTAAACTGTGATAGGAACTGCTCCAGGCCGCCAGCTTTGTACTTTGGGTCGTATTTCAGTGAGCACAGCAACTGTAGCATACTAGTAGGTTTTGTATGATGCAGTGCATGTTCTGTTTCAATTCATTTCCGTGTTTTTTCATCACTTTATTTCAACACGGATTTCAGTGCTCCGGTTTGCGAAGACCAGCTCTCCTCCCCCCCCCCCCCCTCTCTATGTTTGTTCGAGGGGCACTCAAGTCATGCAGTTATGTGATTACAGTGTAACATTCACGTTTCCTTGTAAAACGTGTTCAGATACGAAGTTTGACTGGTACACAGTTCCTGGGTGCCTGGGTAGGTCTACCTGGGCGAATTATCTGTCCAGTTGTACTAATCTTGTACATAGTCCAACCGCTATCTTCAAACAGAATTTTCTTTCAACGTTTCCTCGTTCTAGCATTGCCAGATTACTGAGCAGCCAGCGCATGGCTGTGAGCGTTGACACGTACACCCTCCGTTTCTTACCGTGTTGTGGAGTGACTTCACTGCACGGTGCACTTGACAATCCGTGTTCTGTGTACCATCATCATGATCATCTCATGTCCTCCTCTCTTGAAGCTTGGTCTCTCTGGCTCTCCAACAGTCACAGAACTGACTGTACATCCACTGACAGCAGCAGCAGTGGCAGCGGAACAAGCCCTGCAGTAGATCTGCAATAAACCCGAGGAACAAGCCCTGCAGTAGATCTGCAATAAATCCGAGGAACAAGCCCTGCACAAGGCTGCAGTAGATCTGCAATAAACCCGAGGAACAAGCCCTGCAGTAGATCTGCAATAAACCCGAGGAACAAGCCCTGCAGTAGATCTGCAATAAACCCGAGGAACAAGCCCTGCTGTAAATCTGCACTAAACATGTGTTCTGGGTTCTTGCCATACAGCAAAGGCAAACTGTCGCCACTAGAATGAAGTTCTGAAAAAGCCACTGAAATAATTATTCTGCTGCAGAAAAGAGAACATGAAACTCAATCCGTTCGCATATCCAGGAACGCATCGACTTTCACTGATACGGACACAATTGTATGGAAAATGCTCTATAAGGAATCGAAACTTGTAGTCTCGGCAAGTTTCTATCGACTCTCGTATTTCGATTCTAGCGCAGACATACAATACGATTATGTATCATGACAGTACTAGTACTACTAGTACTAATACTACTAGTACTAATACTACTAGTACTAATACTACTAGTACTAATACTACTAGTAGTAGTACATGTATCACTAGCAGGTACATGTACAGCACTGGTCTTTGCGCTTGTCGAGCGAGCGGGAATATCTAGCCATTCTAGGTCATCCAGTCGCAAACAAGATCCCTATCGGCCTATGTGCATCAGAGGGGCTCGCTCTGCATACCATCGACCGGTAAATGCATTGCGCCCACTAGCCATGGCTGAGGGACGGATGTAACAGTGGTGTGTATAACCTCGCTAATGGCAGTGTCCTCAATGCTAATGGACGCGTCATGTTTTTGTTTATAATGTAAGGTGCAATTTAGCGCTGATGTGGGTATTTCTTTGCTTTTCTTCATTTGGTCCTTTAAAATGAAGCGGCTTTTTATTTCCTTTTTCTTCTTTTGCACCGAGATATTATTTCTTGCTGTTATAAACCGGAGTTTGGTTGAGTTGGGTAACTCCGCTCTTCTTCCTCGCTCACCGGAGGAAATGTAGTCTCCTCGCGCACCTGGGGAGCAGTTTTCATTGGACATTAGTGACGGGACGATGCGACGGGAATCAATGGTACGAGCTGATGAACGAACGCTTTACGGAGGAAAAGAAAAATTTGCTGTCGGAATTTTCAATGTGCGGGGCCTCATGTCGGCCGTCAAGAGGAACTGGCTTGTGTCGGTACCTCTCTTTCTACGGCATAGACGTCTGTACCCTTCAAGAAATCAAGTTACCTGCAGGGCTTGACGAGCAGCGAAACGGCTAAAGAGGGAGTACGAGTGGAGCGGAGTGTTAGAGCACGCGGACGGCCAGTGTCATTGTGGAGTCGCGACTTGCAGCTGTTCGGCTTGTTGGTCACCCGGAGCTCCGTCAACGCGGGCATGGAGCTAATGCGAGCGCGTGGCCGAGGTTGCGCTGACTAGTTGGCGGCGGCTAGCCGAGCTCGACGACTTATACGGCCTCAGTAACGGAGCTGCCACCCAACACCTGAAACGCAACGGCTGCAGAATCTTGGAATGTTCGAGTCTGCCTTGTTCGTTCTGCCAATGTGTCATGCAAGTAATGTCTTCTCCCTGAATGTTCGGAACGTTTTTGCAAATTGTCTGTACATGTGAAAATGGGTTGGCCATCTTTTGTAGCTTTCCACTACGTGGTTCGCGGCTGTAGTTTTTATGGTGGGAGATCTGCGCCAAGCCAATGCTGGATTGTTCAATAGTAGACGCTCTGCAGAGCCTGGGAGCTATTGCCCATGACAGACCAGCATGGCGAGATCTATGCATGAGGGTCTGTGCATTGTGATATTCCGACAGATCCTGAAACAGTCAAACTCAGGAAATAGCACTATCATTATCACTCAGGCTGCAATATTCATATTATGGACATATTCATAAATGACATATCTTCAATACCCATGAGCTACATATATGATATAAGTATCATAATTATTATTATCATCGTTCTAGCTCATTTTTTCCCCTGTCATAGTCCTGTTTATCATGTTCAGCATAAGCGAAGTTGTGGATCATGCTTGCATGGTTGACTCCAACGCGTACATGCAAGTAATAATAATAATAATAATAAACCGGATGTGTCACGACTTTGAATTGAATTGAATTTTCCTGAATTGATTTGATTTTTAGCGTTATGAGCGGCTTTATTGACATTGCTCTTCAGATTGTATTTTTTATTTTTTATTGGCCCGTAAAAGAGGCTCCTTTGCGTTTTTTACCAGATCCCTTACGGGTGCGGACACGGGGAAATCCCTTGAATCCCCTGCACTACACAGTCATAATGATATCCCGCCCTGATCATGACAAGTAACGCACGCGCACGTACAGTTCTGACAGGGCTAGGCCTAGGCTAGGGCTAGGGCCAGGGCTAGCCTAGGCAAGGGCCCGGTACTACGGTAGGGGCATCAGATCGACCTCATGAATGTCAGAATGAAGTAGCGCCACCGTTCCAGCGCAATGAACAGTGTGTGTGTGTGCGCGCGCGCCCGCGTGCGTGTGTGTGTTTGTGTGCGCGAGTGCGTATGTGTGTGTGTGTGAGGTGCAAGGGCCATGTAACGAGGCCTGGCGCAAATATTCACGAGGCCCAATTCTTTGTCCATGGTTGCTGTCACTCTCTCCTTTGTAGCTTGGTTTTATTTCACCCACTCTATATCTCTGGCTCTCTGCTGCTTTGGAGATGGTAAGTTTTTGATATACATGTACATGATGTAAGAAAGAACCAGTCAACCACCATCATAGCTATGTACCAATACTGGCTAAGAGCAAGTCAACCCGTGACCATCATAGCTATGTACCAATACTGGCTAAGAGCAAGCTTCACTTGATACAAGTGAAATCCGGGTAGCTACGTACACAATAGGACTTAGGAGTCTAGCTAAGCCCATCTCTGCGTTTGTCACAAGCACCAAGTCGTTGCTAGGGTTCCCAGTAAAAGGCAACGCCTGTTGGGAGTTCCCTAGTAAAAAAATAAATTCTGCTACTACTCAAGCTGCGGACAGAACTGTTTCGTTCTTCAAGTTGTGGACTCATCCGCGCAGCACAGAGAAAACGAGGCCGAACCTGATAACAATGAAAAATACATTTTCCAAAGCCAGAGGCCCGGGTTTACCTTGCCAGAGTGCTCAAACTGACAAGTCAGTGAGCTCAGCACAACGCAAACAGAAAATGCACTACCGCACATGAGAGTGCTCAAATTGACAAGTCAGTGAGCTCTGGATAACGCAAACAGCAAAGGCACTACCCCACACGAGAGTGTTGAACTGCTACATGAGCAGGAGCGAAATACTCAAACTCTACTAGCTACATTGTAGTCTATTACTACTAGCTACATTGTAGATAGGATGAGAACTATACGATGTCATGATAATGTGTACTATCAATACAAAACTATCAACTACAGCATACATGCTATACATGATAATGTGTACTATCAATACAAAACTATCAACTACAGCATACATGCTATACATGATAATGTGTACTATCAATACAAAACTATCAACTGCAGCATACATGCCATACATGATAATGTGTACTATCAATACAAAACTATCAACTGCAGCATACATGCTATACATGATAATGTGTACTATCAATACAAAACTATCAACTGCAGCATACATACTATACATGATAATGTGTACTATCAATACAAAACTATCAACTGCAGCATACATGCTATACATGATAATGTGTACTATCAATACAAAACTATCAACTGCAGCATACATGCCATACATGATAATGTGTACTATCAATACAAAACTATCAACTGCAGCATACATGCTATACATGATAATGTGTACTATCAATACAAAACTATCAACTGCAGCATACATGCTATACATGATAATGTGTACTATCAATACAAAACTATCAACTGCAGCATACATGCTATACATGATAATGTGTACTATCAATACAAAACTATCAACTGCAGCATACATGCTATACATGCAGTGTGTAACACTGTAATGAATAAACACAAATGCACACCCTGCAGCTGGATCAGATAACTCACAACGAATGCACAGAGCCCGCACATGATTGCCATTTTGTACTGACATAAGACAAAGATGATCTATCATGACATCATGACACCGTATCATCATGACATCATAACATCATGACATAATGGTATCATAACATCATAACATTATGACATCATGACACCGTAACATCATGACATCATGACATCATGACATCATAACATCATGACACCGTAACATCATGACATCATAACATCATAACATCATGACATCATGTCATCATGACATCATAACATGACATCATGACATCATAACATCATGACATCATGACACCGTAACATCATGACATCACAGAGCCCGCAGACACCACGCATGCATAGTATATGTGTGGTTCAAACAGAAAGATAAATTCTCTTCTTATAATGAAAGCGAAAAGGAATGAATTCGCCGACAGTCATTTACTATGGCATTGCATTATGTTTCAGGATTAATATCACATCGAAATCAGCTCATCAAACCTCGCCTTTGCATCTCTCAACAACATTGCTGCACCGGCGGCTGAATATTCATTCCAGCGGTTACAGAAAACACATCAATGAAAATGCATTGTGACGCCGATTACTGAGGATGCGCTGTAACCGTTACTGAAGTCTTGTCTGTTTCCGTAGTTACTGGAGAATCTTGAAGAAGTACTCAACCTAGGGGAATGAATTTAGTAGAGGAAAATATGGAACCCGCGATTACAGGACGCACACACATACACACATGCACGAACACACCCATAAACACACACACACACACACACACACACACACATACGCGTGTGCGTGCACACACACACACACACACACACACACACAAGAGCACACACAAACAATGTCTAGCAATGCACTCCAGGGCACTTTGCACATTTCGTTCTTTCGTTATCTTAACTCTCTTTCTGAACTCTGCTAACAGTCACAACTGCTGCTTGGAGTGTGAGTCGGAGAGCAGCGAAAGAACCAGTTGTACAAGAGCAACGACAAAAAGGGTGCTCAGATCTACGACCGTGAGATTAAGACAAGCATGCTCTACCGAGTGTGCAACAGGAACAATTCCATTGTCGACGGGAACGAGAGTTCAGACAGAATACCATAAGAGAGATTGTGTGAGAAATGCAGATGCGACTTCCGCATATACAGGCACATCTGAACATTGCAGCATTCTTAGGGGTAGACCCACACTGCAGACAAAGGGTTCGTCTACAGTGCATTTCAAAACTATAGACGCGTAGGGTTTTTGAAATATTTCAAATTTGGCTTGAACTTTTTGAGAATAGTTTTCGGTATATTGCTCAGGATCGCTCCACAATTACTCTCATATAGTTTCTAAAGGATTGGATAACAGACGCCCAATTTGGAAAAATTTATGCACAAAGTGATCACAGATTTTATGTGGTATAGATGCTGGTATAACGGTTTTTGCCTAGGTACGCGTCCATAGTTTTGAAATGGACTGTAGATAGGCAGAAAAAATATCGAAAGGAGTTATGGGAATAGGACATATGTCCTGTTCCTAAACGTTCCTCACTGACATTCCCTATGAACTACAAGATTAGCGTGAGAATGAGACCAGACCAGAATAGGACCAAAACCGGAGTGAGACCAAAACCGGAATAAGACCAAAACCAGAATGAGACCAGACCAGAATAAGGTTGTATTTGTTCGGTCATTCCGGAATGAGCATGGAATGCAGTCGATACCCATCGCGGAGTCGGAATGAGAGTAGCAAACAAACGCGCGTGCATGCACTCGGGAATCTGGCAAACGTTTTGCGAGACTCCGGAAACGGCGGTCGAATGTTTTGTTTTTGAGATCTACGAGTTGTTTTTTTGCAGCCTTGCAAAGATAAGCTGGTAGCCTAAGAATGTTGTGGTTGCTATCTTGCTTCCGTACGTTTCTAGTTCTGCATGCCCCTACGACGATCATGGTGAAGGAGCGGCCAAACTCGGCACAGGTCTACGAGCTCCACTGCGGTACACGCCTGAACGCGACATTTGGCCGCTACTTCATCATGACTATTCTGTATTCGACCTCGTATCAGTCACAGAAACGGCTCTAGCTCTTCACGGATTGGAAGCGCTTGTTTGACGGAGGTGCGGTTGTAAGAAGAAGTCGAGTGGCAGGTTCAGTGCCTGTGTGGGTGATTATGTGCTATGCAATGGTGGGCATGCCTCCCTGACCGAGTGATTCTGGAGGCCCTGCTCGACGATGAGGAGGAGAGGTGCGAGGGCATCAATCCAGTTCTTGTCCTGACCGAACGCTGTCTCAGGCAGTGAAGGGCAAAAAATGCCACAAACCAGTAGCGGTAACTATCCCGAGGTTACAGTACCAGCCTACACCCTGGACGATTTTCGGCAACATTCCGTCTGTCGACAATCGCGTTTGAGGTTTTGTTGGCGGAGGTATGCAATAGTGACAACCCCCAGTGGCCGCCGCACATTTTCAATCCGCTCGGAATGAGCACTCATTCCACTTTTTTCTTTGGAATCGCCAGAATGGATTCTGCCCCCTTCATTCCGCGACCGGAATCGGAATTGCACGGAACAAACGCTGTCCGGTGCATCAAACCAACGCACCGCAACCAAAGCACAGCGGAATGACTTTGGAATGGTGTCGGAATGACACCGAACAAACGCAACCTAAGACCAGACCAGAAAAAGACCAGACCGGAAGAATACCAGACCGGAATGAGACCAGACCAGAATAAGACCGGACCAGAATAAGACCAGACCAGAATAAGACCAGACCAGAATAAGACCAGAGCGGAATGAGACCAGACCAGAATAAGACCAGACCAGAATAGGACAAGACCAGAATGAGACCAGACCGGAATGAGACCAGACCAGAATAAGACCAGACCGGAATAAGACCAGACCGAAATGAGACCAGACCAGGATAAGACCAGACCGGAATGAGACCAGACCAGAATGAGACCAGACCGGAATGAGACTAGACCGGAATGAGACCAGACCAGCATAAGACCAGACTAGGCTTTCCCCAAATCGGCCCGGTTTTTGTTCGCCTATTTGGCTGTTCGCTCGGTTCAAAAATACATCAGATTCGGCTTGAAAATTAGCCGATTGTTTGCAAATCGGCTGCAAAATTGGAATATTTTGGAAAATCGGCCAAAAGAATTGTGGGCATACTGGCTTCAAAAGTGGTGAGACACTGGGGAAAAGAAATTTGAGTATTTTACTAGTAATGATCTTTCTAATGGCTAATGTTTGTTTGAGAGGAGTTCAAAGGACACGAGTCACATGACCTCAACACACTAGTACCACAAGTACTGCCATGAAGAGCTCGAGCGGTCATGCTTGCAGCAACATCTTTCATTCGTAAACTCACTTTGCAACAACATTTGGTAGATTTTCGGAGATTCTCAAAGGAACCCTCCAAAATCGGCGAAAACCTTATAAATTTTTCGGTAAGTCTCGTTTACGGAGAATTTTGCGGCCGGCCGATTTGGGGAAAGCCTAGACCAGACCATACCAGCATGACACGAGACCAGCATGACACCATACCAGCATGACACCATACCAGCATGACACGAGACCAGCATGACACTATACCAGCATGACACGAGACCAGCATAACACCATACCAGCATGACACCATACCAGCATGACACCATACCAGCATGACACCATATCAGCATGACACCATATCAGCATGACACGAGACCAGCATGACACGAGACCAGCAGGACATGAGACCAGCATGAGATAGAGCTCCACTCACCTCCAGCATACCGTCATCAGCTAGGTCCGTGCAGTGAACAGCATTCTTCAATTTATTGTGTCCATATTTTGCACGCAACGTGCTGGGACGCAAGTGACGAGCTATCTCCTGTTGAACAACAGAACAGATGATAAACGTACACATACACATACACGTACACACCATTGTGCAATCACATACCACACGTACACACGTCCACACGATTGTGCAATCACATTATATCACACGTACGCATGCACGCATGCACGCATGCACACACACACACACACACACACACACACACACACACACACACACACACACACACACACACACACACACACACACACACAACCACACACACACAACCACACACAAATGTTATGTCTATAATATTATTGTGAGCACAAACACACAATCACGAATAGGAAGAGAAAGCAACTTTCGCCGTTTCTGGGATATGTACAGTAAGACTTCAAAAAAGTAGTAGCAGCTACCACAATGGTGCAGTCGCAGTAGCCATAGCAGCTACAGCAGCAGCACTGATGCATGTGCAGTGGGAGTAATAGCAGCTACAGCAGCAGCTACAGCAGCAACACTGATGCTGGTAGAGTTGGAGAAATAGCCTTTCAAACTCAAAAGTATGACAGGCTACTGCATGGCTGGACTGATCAAGGACTATTTGAACTATGGCACGATCCCCTGAATGTAGTAGAGCAAATGATAGGAAATTGATGAGTCGAACCCTAGCCCAAACAACAACAGCATACCACCAGCTAGGGAGCAGTACATGATTAGCTAGGAAATAGTACATGATTAGCTAGGGAATAGTACATGATTAGCTAGGGAATAGTACATGATTAGCTAGGGAATAGTACATGATTAGCTAGGGAATAGTACATGATTAGCTAGGGAATAGTACATGATTAGCTAGGGAATAGTACATGATTAGCTAGGGAATAGTACATGATTAGCTAGGAAATAGTACATGATTAGCTAGGGAATAGTACATGATAAGCTAGGGAATAGTACATGATTAGCTAGGGAATAGTACATGATTAGCTAGGGAATAGTACATGATTAGCTAGGGAATAGTACATGATTAGCTAGGGAATAGTACATGATTAGCTAGGGAATAGTACATGATTAGCTAGGGAATAGTACGTGATTAGCTAGGGAATAGTACATGATTAGCTAGGGAGTAGTACATGATTAGCTAGGGAATAGTACATGATTAGCTAGGGAATAGTACATGATTAGCTAGGGAATAGTACATGATTAGCTAGGGAATAGTACATGATTAGTGGCGAATGTTGATCTTACTGGATCTGCTGGTCCAACAAACTGTCTGAACTGCTCTACACAAGCACTGCCATGTTGATGAGTTAATGCCATGGCAACGCATGCTCCTGAGCACAACTCAGATACCATCTCCTGCCGAGTGGCACAATAGGAAAGCAGACAAACACACACAGACACACACACACACACATGCATACACACACGCACGCACAGACACACAAAAAACACACATGCATACACACGCACACAGACACACACAAAACACACATGCATACACACGTGCGCGCGCGCAGACACACACAAACACATGATGTAGATCAACATTTCTCTCCCGATATGTAGAGGAGGACATGTCCAGGCGGCCACTCTGATAATGAGACCACCTGTCACAGTGGACCACTAAAACTAGGATCAAAGGACACCCTGGATAAGGAGACCACCTGTCACAGAGGACCACCATACCTAGGACCAAGGGATACCCTGGATAAGGAGACCACCTGTCACAGAGGACCACCATACCTAGGACCAAGGGATACCCTGGATAAGGAGACCACCTGTCACAGAGGACCACCATACCTAGGATCAAGGGATACCCTGGGTAAAGGGACCACCTGTCACAGAGGACCACCACAACTATGATCAAGGGACACCCTGATAAGGAGACCACCTGTCACAGGGGACCATGACAACTATGATCAAGGAACACCCTTGATAAGGAGACCACGTGTAGACAGGGCCTAAATTTCGACGACCCATTGAGCAGTCAGCATTATGCAGGAGTCACTGTAGGAAGACATGGTCTGTAGTCTCCTGACGATGTGCAGGAAGACATAGTCTGTAGTCTCCTGACATTGTGAAGGAAGACATGGTCTGTAGTCTCCTGACATTGCGAAGGAAGACATGGCCTGTAGTCTCCTTACATACTGATGCTCTATACATAGAGCCCATAAGCTGTTCTGCTGGCCTACCACCATGACATCATTGGTAAAACGTCTAAAGGCTGCCTTTGCCTCGACCAATATCAAAACTAAATTCAACATAATAATTATAATGGATTGGGATTTGGTGATGAACGGTGCGTCACAATCTCATCAAAGCAACAACAATCAACCCCTTCATGAGAAGTACTCAGGCTGCTAAACAATTGTATTTGTCATTTCTTTTACCCTCTAGGCTCTAACTCACCGAATATTCGGCAACGACACCTCTGTAGACTTCCAAGAACTCCTCTGCTGTGCTCTTGTCGAAATGGTACTAGACACACAGAAAGTTACATACACACACATGAACACACAAACACGCACATGCACACACACACGCACGCACACACATACACATGCACACACACACACACACACAAACACACACACACACACACACACAAACACACACACACACACACATGCAAACATACACACACACATACACATGTACACCCACACACACACACGCACACGCACACACACACACACACACACACGCACACACACACACACACACACACACACACACATAGAGTAAGATACACGTAACTAGCAATAACAAGGATGAGAAGCCCCAAAGCACCCACAAAGTAGGCCATCTCCATGAGCATTCCTAGTGAGCAAGACGACAAGACAGACAGAGACAGAGACACAGAAACAGAAAAGGATGAAGAGAAACATGCAGGGACAGATGGTGAGAGAGAAAGAGAGTGAGAAAGTGAGAGAGAGAGAGAGAGAGAGAGAGAGAGAGAGTGAGTGTGTGTGTGTGTGTGTGTGTGTGTAAGAGAGAGGGAAAGGTGGACAGATATCGAAAGCCCAAGAGGCCAATAGAGGCAGAGACTACAAGACAGCTAGACAAACAGACGGATAGGAGAAACAATTACAGATGATTACCATTTGCATGGCAGAGATGTCAAAACCAGCCTGCACAATATCACGAGCTACTCTCCCAAGCAGACCTGAACTCAACAATAATGTCAGACCACAACATAACCATTATAAGCAAGTGTATGTATTATCAGAGTATGTATTAACCATGTGTTTGTCTTATCAGAGTTTGTACTAAGCAAGGGTATGTATTATCAGAGTACTCAAATCTGTAGACAGCAACTGTTTCGCTCTGTTAGAGCTCCTCAGCACAGCTCAGAGGACCGAAGCGCAGCTCTTCACTATGAAATACGTTTCCTTGAAGCAAAGCATTTTTATAAAGAGCTGCAAACCCCGCCAAGAGTGCTCGAAATGCTCCAAGAGCAGTGAGCGGTGCACAAGGCGAGCGGCAAGGGTGCGAGCTAAGGTAAGAGTGCTCAACCTAACAACATTGCTGACTGCTAGGGAGAATAATACTCTAATCTGTGAACAGCAACTGTTTTCAGAGTATGTACTAACCATGTGTTAGTCTTATCAGAGTTTGTACTAAGCAAATGTATGTCCTAGCAGAGTATGTACTAAACAAGTGTATTTACTAAACAAGGGTATGCCTTAGTAGAGTATGTACTAAGAAAGAGTATGTACTAGGCAAGTGTATATCCTAGCAGTGTTTGTACTAGGCAAGTGTATGTAGTAGCAGAGTATGTACTAGGCAAGTGTATGTAGTAGTAGAGTATGTACTAGGCAAGTGTATGTAGTAGTAGAGTATGTACTAGGCAAATGTATGTAGTAGTAGAGTATGTACTAGGCAAGTGTATGAAGTAGTAGAGTATGTACTAGGCAAGTGTATGTAGTAGTAGAGTATGTACTAGGCAATTGTATGTAGTAGTAGAGTATGTACTAGGCAATTGTATGTAGTAGTAGAGTATGTACTAGGTGTGTTCCACAGTGCTAAGGTGATAGATAAAACAAGTAGTAGTTTGCCTGAAGTAATGCAGAATTAGATATTTGCAGTCTTTCTAACCTTGTGTCATTGTGTATGGCTTGACCAAACACAATGTGCAGTTGTCAAACTCTGCCGGGACTTGAAGACCACGGCTGCTGCTGTTGCCTGCTCCAAAGAAAAACTCCGTCTCCTGCAGGCGAGGTGAAAAACAAATGGGTAATGACAAACACTATCACCATCTGATCACCATATCATGTTCCTATACCCCCACTGGTGTATCTCTAACATTCCTAGGTAGACAGTAAATAGAGAGGTTCTGCATTGTGTTTGTGGAAATGCTCCATCCTTGTGGTGTTGAGCACTCTAGGTAATCTGGAAACTCTCGCTATTGTGTATGCACACTCATGTACATACACACCTGATGTATGCACACTCATGTACATACACACATGATGTATGCACACTCATGTACATACACACATGATGTATGCACACTCATGTACATACACACATGATGTATGCACACTCATGTACATACACACATGATGTATGCACACTCATGTACATACACACATGATGTATGCATAGTGTTGTACATACACACATGATGTATGCATAGCGTTGTACATACACACATGATGTATGCATAGTGTTGTACATACACACATGATGTATGCATAGTGTTGTACATACACACATGATGTATGCATAGTGTTGTACATACACACATGATGTATGCATAGTGTTGTACATACAGCAGTACCGTAAACACACGCATGTACAAACACGTAGAGTAAAACCTGTCAAGGCGACCACCTGTCCAAGAAGACCATTACATTACAACCAGGATCAAAAGATGGTATTTCCAGTCAAATGAAACTGAATGAGGAGACCACATGGTTACAGAGACCACGTTTTCAAGGTCCCTTGAGCGGTCGTCTTAGAAAGATTTCACTGTACATTGGTGTAGGCATCACAGTGATGTGCACATACTGAATGGCGTGTTTTCTACGTCCTGGGCAGAAATCATCATCACTCTATCTCAGTAAGAGTGGGGGAACACTAAGGGAAGACCAATTAACTTACTCTTTCGGCCGATACCACTGAATCTGATCCATGACAGGCATTGCGCGTTTGATCTTCACAACAAGAAAAAATAATAAAAACATTGAGAATAATACACGGATACAAATGATCTGCCTGGAGGCAATAAATTTAGAAAGAAAATTAAGTTACGAATAAAATAATTTGCGCGCTCATTATCTCGACACAAAAGGCAAGGTTGGTATAATTATAGGTTTTCAAGGCGACCGACAGTACAGGCACAGCAGTGGCCAAGCGAAAAAATCAGCTACGGCTTCACCTTCTCTACAAAGCGAAAATTGCAAACTCGGCGACAAGTAGTATATTTTTCTGTGACGATCATCAGTTCCAAGTGTGGAACCGATAATCGTAACAAGAAACGTTCTTGGAAACATATAGTCCTTCTTTGCATTCTGTGTCGGAATAATGAGTGCGGAAGTTTTTTGTTTCGAAATGCATGGATAGAAAATGTTGAACAGAATACGACACGGCCAGGCATATAGAAATAAATAAGCAGAGAAATAGGAACAAAGAGAAAATTGAGTATTGACTGAAAACAACTCACTGCAATAGAATATAGTATGCTGACTGATTTGAAAGTCAACTCCCAATGTTGGCACTTGCCCTTCGCTATGATCTCCCAATGTTGTCACTTGCCCTTCGCTATGATCTCCCAATGTTGGCACTTGCCCTTCGCTATGATCTCCCAATGTTGGCACTTGCCCTTCGCTATGATCTCCCAATGTTGGCACTTGCCCTTCGCTATAATCTCCCAATGTTGGCACTTGCCCTTCGCTATGATCTCCCAATCTTGGCACTTGCCCTTCGCTATGATTACTGCATAGTATTATGTGATCGACTTTAGTTGATAAATTACTACTTCAATGACTTGGAAAGGTTAACCAACCGTCAAAGAAAATGGTTAATCACAGTCTTTAAAACTAGCTTACCTGTGCCAAACCTTGCTCTGAGACTATCCGGAGCTTGAGACCTGGCATCAGCCGAGTTTGTTGGTCCTGGTCATGAATACCAACCACAGGTAAACACATAAAACACACACACACCCACACACACATACGCACACATACGCACACACACGCACACACACACACACACACACACACACACACACACACACACACAAAGCTGGGCACGGTGAAAATCAAGCAAGATATGCCCAGGGTATGGCTTTAGTAAGCACCTCCACCGATGTTGCTGGCAATACTCAAAGATTGGATATGACTTTCCCATGTTTTTTTTGTTTTTTTTAAATAGTAGAACTCACCAATAAGTTCTCTCCATCTGCTGACGGCATTGTCGGCTAGTAAGCTGAGCGCCATGATTGGTCCTTCCGTCATGAAAGATACCAGAGTTCTGTGCATGCGGGGGGACAACAGTAACACCATCATTACAACAAACACCGCAACCAGCATCAAAAGAACAGCAGCAGCAGAAGAACAAGCAACGGCAACAGCAGTAGCCGCAGCAACAGCAACAGAAGCATCAACAGCAGCAGCAGGAGCAGCAGTAACGGCAGGGCAGGAGAACCACGACAGGATTTTAATGCCTAGGGCAACAACAGAACATTGCAAGAACAGGAAGAGTAGAAAGTTTCAATTCTACTTCACGAAAAATTCACATATTAGCCTGGGGATTTGTGATATGTTTCCTTCCTTCCTTGCCTGGACAAGTGTCGCAAAAACACTCATATGGCTATAAGAACCAATTGAGAACTCAAATTATGCACTTTTGAAAATGCAGCAGGGAAGAGGTTGTCATTGCCTTTTCTGGATTGCCGAAGATTCGAGAACCCCTCTTCACCCCTTTAATATCCAAACTCTTAGTATAAATAATCCAAATAGGAATGAGTAAGACATGTGAGAAACGGTCTCTGGACTTTGTAATGCCTTCCTGTATACACATACAAACTGTTACATACCAATACTAGTACACACTGTCTACTACAGAGCCGGGTCAGTCGGGTCAGCGGCCCGGTTGCGGGTACTTGGACCTGGTTGGAGGGTACTTGGACCCGGTTGGAGGGTACTTTGACCCGGTTGGAGGGTACTTGGACCCGGTTGGTGGTATTTGGACCCGGTTGCGGGTACTTGGACCCGTTTAAAAAAAGAGCACTAACCAGGTCACCAGCTGGAAATAGCATACATGTACATACCGGTATGCTACATACACGTATACATCGGAGGTCCTAAAATATTTACTGCTCCCTGATGCACATACAGTAGTCTAACCGCACTTGAACGTACCCAGCTCTGACCCGGTTGGACAAGTTGTGGCAGGTCCACGTGCACCCAAGTGGTTTGAAATCCTAGAGTAGGCACTGGAGTAGGCACTGAGACACCTAGTGTGAATAAGATCATCACACGCTGAAGGTTGTTCAGCAATAAGCAACACATGGACGTTTCACTGATAACCTATAACACAGGATTTCCCTGATCACATTCTTCCCAGTATCATAACACCAACACCTGCCAATCCCCCCCCCCCCCCCACCCCAAGTGTTTGCACAAAAGCCACGTCCCTTGCTGGTCTACAATGCCCGTCTGAATGGACGCTACCAGGGGGAGTACTAACCTGAAAAATGGTTTAGCACAATGCTCGCGATAAAACTCTTCAGCCGCAGACCTGGACACAACAACGAAAAACAAAAAAAATCATTCATGGACACCGACATTCGCATACAAACACACACACAAACACACACACACACACACACACATACACACACACACACACACACACACACACACACACACACACACACACACACACACAAACACACATAAACCATACACACTGTTTTTTAGTACATGCAATAATTGATTAATCCCACAACACCAGTGTACACCTACATCCTTCTGTAACTTCAACATGGATTGCACATACACATTAGATGGATAGGTGTGGGGGGGGGGGGGGGGGGGAGAAAGAGAGTTGGGATGGGGGGGGGGGGGGGGACCAGGAATAGTAGGGTGCCCATAAATGTTCCGGGCATACTACAGAGCTAGCAAACCAATGATAGTCCTGAATTCACGGTCATCCCACAACCAACGTGGAAATCCGGTCGAACATCTAGCGGCCCTAGGGCGATGGCCATGCAGCCGTGGATAAGCGGTACACACATGCATTTCTGCGCTGCAGCGCGGTGTTCGCATCGGATCAAAATGTGCACTGCATGCACGCAGCGTTCTGTACGCGCTGAGGGCGCCGGCCCCAGCATTTCCATGTCCACTACAGCAGGAGAAAACATTTGTGACTGCAAAGCTAAACGCATGTTGCTATCCACCGCCGGCTGCCCTTTACAGCTGCTGTTGAGCTAGGGCAGATTGATAAACTCTCGCATATTGCTATCCACTGCCGGATGCCCTTTACAGCTGCTGTTGAGCTAGGACAGATTGATAAACTCTCGCATGTTGCATCGCCGGACTGAATCACCTTAGGGGGCAGCAGGTCAAGGCCGGGAGTGATATAAAAAGTGGCATAGACCACGGTTCATGCCGATTTTTCGGGTGCTATTATGTGTGACCCCCCACCCCACCGCTGCTATGACTCACTGGTGCACACAGTAATTTTATTTGAAAGGTTGGGTTTTGCCTTTTCTCCTGATACTCAGTTCCAGTTACTATGAACAATAACCTAGAGACTGGCAATGTCCAAATACGTTGATCTCCGACCTGCAGAGAGTGCTCAATAGAGAGGTTAAGATTCACGTTATTTCTGACCTGACGCGCAATTTCACGTCAAATTGCGGGTAACACTCCAAATTTCGACGTGAGCTGCCGGTCACGTTGTTTTTCGACGCGCGAGCCAAATACCGCGAGCTGAACTTTCGCGTCACATCGGAAACAGGGTGCACCTTAACCTCTCTAATGTCAGAGACAGAGCTTAGTACCTAGCAGACTCAGTGGAGGACGTTCAGGTTGGTTGTAACTCTGAGTTTCATGCCGCCGTTAGGCAATCATCAGACAACGGGTAACAACATGGAAGTCCTCTGCTGAGTGTGCTATGCACTGGGAAGGTTCTGTACTTACTTGCTCAACACAACTGTCTTCACATCACAGATCTGAAGTCCTTCAGTGCAGAGAATCTCAAGCAGGAGAGCTGCAGGCAGAAACACACCACAGAAATCACATTTCACATGAGAACAAGTGAGACTGATTTTCCGCATCCGTAGAAACACCACCGCCATGCAAGGATCAAATCGCACAAAACTAAGTCCAGAATCCAGTTGTAGAGGTTAACACTTGTTAGCACAAGGGCAGCATGTTTTCAGCTGAAACACAATTACGTAGGAAACGAGAAGACAAGGAGCACTAGGGCAGCATGTTTTCAGCTGAAACACAATTACGTAGGAAACGAGAAGACAAGGAGCATTAGGGCAGCATGTTTTCAGCTGAAACACAATTACGTAGGAAACGAGAAGACAAGGAGCACTAGGGCAGCATGTTTTCAGCTGAAACACAATTACGTAGGAAACGCGAAGACAAGGAGCACTAGGGCAGCATGTTTTCAGCTGAAACACAATTACGTAGGAAACGAGAAGACAAGGAGCATTAGGGCAGCATGTTTTCAGCTGAAACACAATTACGTAGGAAACGAGAAGACAAGGAGCACTAGGGCAGCATGTTTTCAGCTGAAACACAATTACGTAGGAAACGCGAAGACAAGGAGCACTAGGGCAGCATGTTTTCAGCTGAAACACAATTACGTAGGAAACGCGAAGACAAGGAGCACTAGGGCAGCATGTTTTCAGCTGAAACACAATTACGTAGGAAACGAGAAGACAAGGAGCATTAGGGCAGCATGTTTTCAGCTGAAACACAATTACGTAGGAAACGAGAAGACAAGGAGCACTAGGGCAGCATGTTTTCAGCTGAAACACAATTACGTAGGAAACGCGAAGACAAGGAGCACTAGGGCAGCATGTTTTCAGCTGAAACACAATTACGTAGGAAACGAGAAGACAAGGAGCATTAGGGCAGCATGTTTTCAGCTGAAACACAATTACGTAGGAAACGAGAAGACAAGGAGCACTAGGGCAGCATGTTTTCAGCTGAAACACAATTACGTAGGAAACGAGAAGACAAGGAGCACTAGGGCAGCATGTTTTCAGCTGAAACACAATTACGTAGGAAACGAGAAGACAAGGAGCATTAGGGCAGCATGTTTTCAGCTGAAACACAATTACGTAGGAAACGAGAAGACAAGGAGCACTAGGGCAGCATGTTTTCAGCTGAAACACAATTACGTAGGAAACGAGAAGACAAGGAGCACTAGGGCAGCATGTTTTCAGCTGAAAACAATTACGTAGGAAACGCGAAGACAAGGAGCACTAGGGCAGCATGTTTTCAGCTGAAAACAATTACGTAGGAAACGCGAAGACAAGGAGCACTAGGGCAGCATGTTTTCAGCTGAAAACAATTACGTAGGAAACGCGAAGACAAGGAGCACTAGGGCAGCATGTTTTCAGCTGAAAACAATTACGTAGGAAACGAGAAGACAAGGAGCACTAGGGCAGCATGTTTTCAGCTGAAAACAATTACGTAGGAAACGCGAAGACAAGGAGCACTAGGGCAGCATGTTTTCAGCTGAAAACAATTACGTAGGAAACGCGAAGACAAGGAGCACTAGGGCAGCATGTTTTCAGCTGAAAACAATTACGTAGGAAACGCGAAGACAAGGAGCACTAGGGCAGCATGTTTTCAGCTGAAAACAATTACGTAGGAAACGCGAAGACAAGGAAGGCTTTTTCTGGAAATATTTATGTTAATTTTCCTGCACAGATTTGCTCTGCTGAGATAGAAATTAAAACATTAAAAAAAGTCAGCACTTCGCCCATGAAATCATTTCTACACAAGTCTCAACGGAACAAGATAGGGTCAACTGGAAGCCTCGGTTGGCTCAGATCACTTGAATCACTTCAATCACACAGTGAACACGCCTCTGAGAAAGCTTAGACCGGTCAGAAAGCTTGGATGGCTTAGATCATAGAGCGTTCAGGTCAAACATCACACAGGCTGCCACACAGGCTGCCACACAGGCTGCCACACAGGCTGCCACACAGGCTGCCACACAGGCTGCCACACAGGCTGCCACACAGGCTGCCACACAGGCTGCCACACAGGCTGCCACACAGGCTGCCACACAGGCTGCCACACAGGCTGCCACACAGGCTGCCACACAGGCTACCACACAGGCTGCCACACAGGCTGCCACACAGGCTGCCACACAGGCTGCCACACAGGCTGCCACACAGGCTGCCACACAGGCTGTCACACAGGCTGCCACACAGGCTGTCACACAGGCTGCCACACAGGCTGCCACACAGGCTGCCACACAGGCTGCCACACAGGCTGCCACACAGGCTGCCACACAGGCTGCCACACAGGCTGCTGCCACCCAGAAAGCTTGTCCACCTTACATGTATATCTCATGTTTAGAAAGGCCACACGGAGAAAGCTTGTACAACACAGGTCATACACACACACACACACACACACGCACTCCCCCCCCCCCCCCCCCCTCCACACACACACATCACTAACGTCACTCAGAAAGCTGCGAGCGAGCGGTCGGATCAGGATGATCCCCACATAAAAAAAATAACAACGGAAATTCACGGTTCGCGTGAGACTCAGCTAGAGGCCGAGTTTTCTGCATCCGCAGGAATGCCACCACCCTTCAAGGATCAAGGCTCATATGCAGCTCCTACAGCGGTGAGATTACTTGTTAATAACTATACACCACATTACACACACACAATTACAGTCAATCTCAGGAACGACCTCGTGTATAACGCTATGACACCATCTTTGGAGTCTAGTGACGCAAGGAACACTTGAAGTATTCCAACATTCTAGAATACCGAGACCGGGAATAGTATTCGAATGCAGCTAGAAACATTTGAATATTGGGAGGAGGGGGAGGAGGGGGGGGGGGGGGGGGGAGTAGCCTCCTAGGGTAGTCTCCTAGTCTAGACCGTTTTATAATTTCATGTTCAGTTGAATCACAGTTATACACTGGCATGCTGTGCTTGGTAAAATTATATCTAGTCTGGTCGTTCTTCGGCGCTCCATTCTTCGGCGCTCCATTCTTCAGCGTTCAATACTTCAGTGCTCCATTCTTCAGTGCTTCGTTCTTCGGCGCTCCATTCTTCAGCGTTCCATTCTTCGGCGCTCCATTTTTCAGCGCTCCATTCTTCGGTGGCCGAAAGTACTGTAGGGGTGAAGCGCCCTACAGCTTCAGAACTCAAAGGGAAGTGGTGAGCACACATGCTCTTTCCCTGGGGATACCCCGTGCACTGTTTGTATGGTAGCTGGGGAAACCCCCATGCACTGGTTGTACGGTCCCTGGGGAAACCCCGGTGCACTGTTTGAACGGTGCATGTGCTGTTTGACCGACGGACCGAACTCACTCAACCATCCCACCTACAGAATACAACCATTATGGGAGGTGATGGTGGTAACTGAGTGGGTGTTCGGGTAGGTTAGACAACACGTTGCTTACGCATTTTTTCCATGATGTCCGGCTTGAATATCGCCAGAGTCCTGCAAGAGAATTCAAGCAGGGAATACAACAAAACACAATCAGTTTATTCAGTATCATTCCAGATTTCATTCAATTCTCTTCTGATGTGATGGGACCGACCGGGTGAGAAAACAGATATTTTGGAGAAGACATGCTCACAACTAGAGTACTGTCATACTGGTTGAAGTATGGCTGACTGCTCACTTCCACGACCGAGGATTTCAAATATATAAATCAGAAAGAACCAGGAGGAGAAGGAGGAGAATGAAAGGGAGAAGGACGTAGGTATTATTTGCCAAACATCCCAGAGGAGAAAATTCCGTGAAGAAATTGGTGTCGATGAGACATACACAGTGTAGCATATGCTGGCTATGGCTGATATACTTCAGTACAAAGGCACATGTTTGCTTGTGCACACTGGTGAGAGAAGAGAGGTCCACGGCAAGCTGGACAAGCTAGTGTGGATATAATGATTTACAACCAAAGAGACGGGGATGGCAGGTGTGATAATTTAGTGTGGTGATGCTTTGTATTATCAAGGGTAAGCAGCAGCATTTGGCCCTGTGCATATTGGTCAGCACACCACCACACCAGAACTACGCTCTCTAGCCGACTTCGATACGTTGCCACAGCACACCATCCGACCAGAAGTACGCTCTCTAGCCGACCTCGACACATTGCCACAGCACACCACACCAGAACTGCACTCTCTAGCCGACCTCGACACGTTGCCACAGCACACCACCACACCAGAACTGCGCTCTCTAGCCGACCTCGACAGATTGCCACAGCACACCAACACACCAGAACTGCACTCTCCACCCGACCTCGACACAACTTTGCCACAGCACACCACCACACCAGAACTGCGCTCTCTAGCCGACCTCGACACGTTGCCAGAGCACACCACCACACCAGAAGTACGCTCTCTAGCCGACCTCGACACATTGCCACAGCACACCACCACACCAGAACTGCGCTCTCTAGCCGACCTCGACACGTTGCCACAGCACACCACCACACCAGAACTACGCTCTCTAGCCGACTTCGACACGACATTGCCACAGCACACCACCACACCAGAACTGCGGTCTCTAGCCGACCTCCACACATTGCCACAGCACCCCATCACACCCGAACTGCGCTCTCTAGCCGACCTCGACACGTTGCCACAGCACACCACCACACCAGAACTACGCTCTCTAGCCGACCTCGACACATTGCCACAGCACACCACCACACCAGAACTGCGCTCTCTAGCCGACCTCGACACGTTGCCACAGCACACCACCACTGCAGAACTGCGCTCTCTAGCCGACCTCGACACATTGCCACAGCACACCACCACACCAGAACTATGCTCTCTAGCCGACCTCGACACATTGCCACAGCACACCACCACACCAGAACTGCGCTCTCTAGCCGACCTCGACTAATTGCCACAGCACACCACCACACCAGAACTGCGCTCTCTAGCCGACCTCGACACATTGCCACAGCACACCACCACACCAGAACATCGCTCTCTAGCCGACCTCGACACATTGCCACAGCACACCACCACTGCAGAACTGCGTTCTCTAGCCCGACCTCGACACATTGCCACAGCACACCACCACACCAGAACTATGCTCTCTAGCCGACCTCGACACATTGCCACAGCACACCAGCACACCAGAACTGCGCTCTCTAGCCGACCTCGACACATTGCCACAGCACACCAACACACCAGAAATACGCTCTCTAGCCGACCTCGAAACGTTGCCACAGCACACCACCACACCAGAACTGCGCTCTCTAGCCGACCTCGAAACATTGCCACAGCACACCACCACACCAGAACTATGCTCTCTAGCCGACCTCGACACATTGCCACAGCACACCACCACACCAGAACTGCGCTCTCTAGCCGACCTCGAAACATTGCCACAGCACACCACCACACCAGAACTGCGCTCTCTAGCCGACCTCGACACATTGCCACAGCACACCACGACACCAGAACTGCGCTCTCTAGCCGACCTCGACACATTGCCACAGCACACCACCACACCAGAACTGCGCTCTCTAGCCGACCTCGACACATTGCCACAGCACACCACCACACCAGAACTACGCTCTCTAGCCGACCTCGACACGTTGCCACAGCACACCACTACACCAGAACTACGCTCTCTAGCCGACCTCGACACGATATTGCCACAGCACACCACTACACCAGAACTGTGCTCTCTAGCCGACCTCGACACAACGTTGCCACAGCACACCACGACACCAGAACTGCGCTCTCTAGCCGACCTCGACACGTTGCCACAGCACACCACCACTGCAGAACTGCGCTCTCTAGCCGACCTCGACACATTGCCACAGCACACCACCACACCAGAACTACGCTCTCTAGCCGACCTTGACACGTTGCCACAGCACACCATCACACCAGAACTGCGCGCTCTAGCCGACCTCGACACGTTGCCACAGCACATCACTACACCAGAACTACGCTCTCTAGCCGACCTCGCCACAACGTTGCCACAGCACACCACTACACCAGAACTGCGCTCTCTAGCCGAGCTCGACACAACATTGCCACAGCACACCACCACACCAGAACTGCGCTCCCTAGCCTACCTCGACACGTTGCCACAGCAAACCACCACTGCAGAACTGCGCTCTCTAGCCGACCTCCACACATTGCCACAGCACACCACCAGTCACCACACCAGAACTACACTCTCTAGCCGACCTCGACACGTTGCCACAGCACACCACTACACCAGAACTACGCTCTCTAGCCGACCTCGACACGACATTGCCACAGCACACCACTACACCAGAACTGCGCTCTCTAGCCGACCTCGACACAACGTTGCCACAGCACACCACCTCACCAGAACTGCGCTCTCTAGCCGACCTTGACACGTTGCCACAGCACACCACCACTGCAGAACTGCGCTCTCTAGCCGACCTCGACACATTGCCACAGCACACCACCACACCAGAACTACGCTCTCTAGCCGACCTCGACACGTTGCCACAGCAGACCATCACACCAGAACTGCGCACTCTAGCCGACCTCGACACGTTGCCACAGCACATCACTACACCAGAACTACGCTCTCTAGCCGACCTCGCCACAACGTTGCCACAGCACACCACTACACCAGAACTGCGCTCTCTAGCCGAGCTCGACACAACATTGCCACAGCACACCACCACACCAGAACTGCGCTCCCTAGCCTACCTCGACACGTTGCCACAGCAAACCACCACTGCAGAACTGCGCTCTCTAGCCGACCTCCACACATTGCCACAGCACACCACCAGTCACCACACCAGAACTACGCTCTCTAGCCGACCTCGACACGTTGCCACAGCACACCACTACACCAGAACTACGCTCTCTAGCCGACCTCGACACGACATTGCCACAGCACACCACTACACCAGAACTGCGCTCTCTAGCCGACCTCGACACAACGTTGCCACAGCACACCACCTCACCAGAACTGCGCTCTCTAGCCGACCTTGACACGTTGCCACAGCACACCACCACTGCAGAACTGCGCTCTCTAGCCGACCTCGACACATTGCCACAGCACACCACCACACCAGAACTACGCTCTCTAGCCGACCTCGACACGTTGCCACAGCAGACCATCACACCAGAATTGCGCACTCTAGCCGACCTCGACACGTTGCCACAGCACATCACTACACCAGAACTACGCTCTCTAGCCGACCTCGCCACAACGTTGCCACAGCACACCACTACACCAGAACTGCGCTCTCTAGCCGACCTCGACACAACATTGCCACAGCACACCACCACACCAGAACTGCGCTCCCTAGCCTACCTCGACACGTTGCCACAGCACACTACCACTGCAGAACTGCGCTCTCTAGCCGACCTCGACACATTGCCACAGCACACCACCACACCAGAACTACGCTCTCTAGCCGACCTCGACACGTTGCCACAGCACACCACCACACCAGAACTACCCTCTCTAGCCGACCTCGACACAACGTTGCCACAGCACACCACTACACCAAAACTACGCTCTCTAGCCGACCTCGACACGACATTGCCACAGCACACCACCAGAAAAGCGACACAACCTTTGGTACTCTGTTCCTTCATACACACAATGCTGTTTCGAGTATAAAACTATCTTCAGTGACTGTAGATAATGTAGAATGGATAAGATAGTGAAAATCACCGTTTTGTACCGAAGCGGTAAGCACAATGCGCACGCCTGAGGCACAAAGAATAGGGGTGTGTTTGGTTTGTACAATCTAGAACAGGATGGAACAGCTGGTGCACATAGAGCACCTTCATGCCAACCAAACGGTACTCCAGAAACAGAGCACATTTTGTTGTGAAAAATATGCTAAACTTGGTGCATTCTTCAAAATGTGTATGGGTCACCATGGTCACTTTGTACGGTACGACAAGTCCAACCCGAGCGCGCATGCACGTGATCATTCGGGACAAAAATTGATGTTCCTGCCAGGTTTCACTGTGAAAAAGTGAAACTGGTACACTGACAAGGGTAATTTTCACCATCTTAGCCATTCTGCAATATCTACGGTCACTGACGAGAGTTTGATACAGAAAATAGCCGCAGGGTGTAGCCAGTGTGCTGACAGTGCTCAACACGGCGGAGGCAGAGAGTAATACAGACTTGTTGTTCTGTTCTGTACTGAAAATAGCAGTACCAAGGAACCGGGTACCAATGCCATGGATGTGTCGCTTGCTGATGGTAAGCTGTGGCAATGTGTCGAAGTCGGCTGCAGAGCGCAGTTGTGGTGTGGTGGTTGACGAAAGATATGCTTCGTCTTACTTAAAAAAATAAAAAAAATAAAAAAAATGACGGGTTCGCGTACCAGGCAGGTCAAGAACAAGGAGTCGTACAACTCCCTGGTCAAGAACCACCTTTCCGCTTCAGTGGGACGCCACCACCCCATGATCAGGCTCCTTTGGCCTATGGTTGGTGGATCTGATCTATCCTTCCCCACC